TTACTAAAATAATGATGCAAACATCATATTCGTTGAACAAATTTGTGATCATTTGTACTTAAGTGGTGTAGCTCATTGACCAGTATTTTTTGAAGTCTTTGGAGGGAAAAACTGGAATGCTAGTTAGTCTATATCTTTCCCAGTAAATTTTACAATTAGGAAAAAAAATAACGCTTTCTGGATTTCACAGTTATTCTCAGTTTTGTCTTTCTAAACTTATCTCACTACTGAATTATACTTCTTGAATAATAATATCTTCTAATTCTAACCTCTCCGATTACTTCTAATACCTTTTGCTGCCTCTACTTCTACTATTGGATTTGCATCTGACTGACTGACTGACTGACTGACTGACTGACTCAGTTCATTCTATTTTTTTTTGATCAAGTTTTTTTTTAAATTGTCTTGTAATTGATTGGCTCAGTTGGTATTTTTTCCCTCTCTCTTTATCCCAGGACTATTATGATGTGGCAGCTCAACAACAACAACAACAACATCAAGCTATGGCTGCGGTGGCAGCAGCTGCTGCTGCAGCTTTATATCCAAACGCCGCGACGGCAGCTGATTTGTATGCATTAGCTGCAGCAGGTGCACCTCGTACAGGACTTGGAATGTCTAGACCACGTGGTCAACGTGGTTCTTCACCATCACATGATTTCAATCATCGACCATATGGTGGTAGTAATAATAGTCGAAGACAGCCGACAACTTATGGAGCAAATAGGTAAGCTACAGTTATTGTTGTTGTTTTTTGAGGGTGTGAGTGTGTGTGTGCGTGTATACTGTTTATCCCCCGGGTACACTCACTGATCATTAGATGGTAGACATTGAAAGAATAATAATATAACTATCAAACGGTGTAACATTTTTCCAAGAGTTGGTTGTAGACAGTGTTAATGTTTTCAATGCACATGTCACTGTATTTGCCTCTGTATTTTGTAATGAATTGTTGTTACACTTCAACTATTGTTCCACAATGTGTTATTTATTCTTAGTTGATCTGAAATTAGAAACAAATCAATGACTGCCGAACTTGTTATTCGCTCGTGTATTCTGGGACGACCGAGTGAGCAATGCTATTGTTAAGAAACGAGTTCTAGGTAGGGATGGCAAATCAATAGATGAAGCATTGAAACTTCATCAGTTGAGGTAGTTGGGACATGTGTTACGTATGCCTAACCGCCGACTGCCTCGACGAGCTACGTTGTTTGATGTAGGGATAGGTTGGAAGGAAGTTAGGGGCAGCCATACCAAAACATGGTAGAAATCCATGAAGTCACTGACAAGAGGACTGGGTCATGTTGGTAGATGTAGACACCTGGTTGGGGTCCGCGAGACGTAAATCACCAATGGTTAGAGACCTTGAACGACATGGCTCAAAATCGTTTGCCATGGCGCAGGTGCATCCACTCTTTGTGTTCTCTCTAATTCTAACCTTCTGAATTCCTCATCATCTCAGTCTTTTTCCTTCTAAATTTATCTCACTGAATCATACTTTTCGAATCATATCTTCACTCCCTAATCTTCTCCATTACTGCTAATAATTCTACTATCGCTATCACGCACGGCCTTTTTATGAAAGGTCTTTTGAGTATTAGCTCCGCTCTTAAAAGCCTTTAGTGGGCAGGCACCCTTACCACCGGAGACGGAAATCCATGAGGTGTAGGGTGAGGTGTGACATTTTTATGGTCGACATTTTCTAACCCTTCCTTCCTTCTCCGTGAGAAGGCAGCATCGCTGCAGATGCTGGTTGTCCGAAGGAAACACCTTACTGCTGTCACACCACTCTGCAGTTAGCAGTACGACTTTGCCCTCATACCTTGGGTAGCTGCTTTTAGTCTGATCATTCTCCAATCGACCTGCCTGCCTGGCATGGTAGAACCTTCAGGAACATATGTTCCAGCCAATATAGTTAGGTTGGGTCATCACGATAGGCAAGCCCGACCACTACGTCAAGGTAGCAGCTACGGTCGGGAGATGCACTTATGTACGAAGTTGTGCGTTGTATTTGCCTGTCTGAGTGGGGGGGGGGTAGTTAAGCTATCATTCGGAAATATAAAAATGCACCATACATTTTGTCAGAAAAAGAAGGCCACAGAACCAAAACACAGACAAAAATTTCGTTGATTTCTTTACTTCTTGGTATAATTACATTTGTTTGTTTAATTTATTTAGACGCCCAATCGGTGCTGGTCCCGCGACAACGACTGGTGAACGAGCTATGATATCGTATAATGATTTAGACGATCCTGGAAATGATGTACTTTAACAAAAGAAAATGATCAAATGAATGATTGTGTTGACTCATGCTTCTAATCATTTTCATTTCATCGACTATGACTGTGGTTATATATATACACCTACAGACACACACACTATACTACTTATTATATTATACAATTACTTTCACTCTCTCCTTTTTTCTAAAAACATTACTATTATTATTATTATTATTATTATTATTATAATGATGATGTTGTTGTATTTCTGTTATTATTCAACAGTTTATTGCGTTGATACTATAACTACTATAAGTACATTTCCACCGAAAATATCATGTATTATATTTAAACCATTGTGCATTTTCATTTTGTCGATAATAACAATGATAATAATAATAATAATATTAATAATAATAATAATAATTGCAGTAAAACAAGTTTGTTTATTTGTTTTATTTTCTTTCAAATTATACCAAACTTGTCAATTGATCACAATTGTATCATTTGTGAAGAGAGATATTGTATATTGTCTAGTGTTTTATACAGTAGTAGTATCATCAGTATTTCTCTTACAAATTTATTACACTGGCTAACGGTCTGGGTGACATTTTATAGAGTACATTTATTTTTTAGATAAAAGCAAAATTATGCCTTTTTGTTAAGGTTGGATCAATGTCTCGTTTGATTATATATGTCGACTAGGCGATAGCTCAAATTCTAATCATTTCACTTAAATGTATTATCAACTCTGGTAGACGACAAATTGTCAGCACTTGTGACGATATTGAGCATATTATGGAGTACTTTGTAGTTATGGGACATTATTAAGATGGAAAATATGTACTTGAATGTTGCTGAGGTATCAGTACCATGTGATAGAACTCTTCGGGTGGGTAGTGTTGAGGTCATAGATACTGCTTAAGGTAGGAATATTATTTTAGACAATAAATCATCATCAGGTCTAAGTTAGTGTTGGTAACATTGAACCAACTTGATATTATGATCAAGTCAGACATCGATGAAACCACCAGCTGACCTAATTGGTTAGGATCTGACTTCCTAATCTAATGGATTAAGATGTGTCATTGAGGGAGGAGGAATGTGGCTGAAATATCTCACGGACAAATATACATATATGCATGGATAGGTGTGTATTGGTATTAGTTTCTAAACATGATCCTTGAAGCTAATCATCCATTAACTGAAAAGGCTTTCATTAGCCAGTGAACACTTGGGGAACGTCAGAAGTGATGAACACAATTAATGCAACATGGCTCAGCCACTTAGGTGTGATCTCTCTATGGAAACTCTCCTTATACTGAATTACTATTCTCCCAACCAAAAATCTCAACAATGCACTGCTAACTGTCACGATATGACGACATCACTCTGACAGCAAAACGTTACTACTGAAAAAAAACAACATGTTTGGTTACCGAATTAGAAATCGACAAGGGACCCCTTCATATTATTCAGTGTAAATACAAATTTACGTGAATCTGTCGAAGCAGGTACATTGGCCCAAAACAAAGTAGAGTTTAGCTGCTGCGTTAAATTGTAAGGCTTAGCATTTCAGTGGCTCGTGACCTGACTTTGATATTTATGAACGTTTGTATATGCTGTGAAATGAATTTCCTCTCCAGTTTCTATATGTCATACTTGGGCGAGCTCGGTTTGTTCGACAGTGGTAGTAAGGAGCTGAGTACGGATTTGGTTGTATGAAATTCATTTCATGCAATCGTTCATGCAGAGATTCATTGGAACGAAGAGCGTACAAGTGAAGCAAAATGGAGAAGGCGATAAAGAATGTTTAAGTATATATGATCAGACGAAAATAAGCCAGATATACAATAAGTGAAGTAAGCAATGCGCACATGTACTCAAAAAAACAAGCAAGATTTTGTTGGTTTATCGGAATTTCAGATCACCACCTACCGTACTTAGCACTGGAAAAAGAATTTTAATTAAGTCATTAAGCCAGTTTCTGAAATTGGTCACGCCTAACATTCACCTATTTATTTACTTGCTTTGAGGATGTGTCTTGCATTAGGTTTTTGCTGTGCGGTTATGCTGGTGTCTGTCGGTAAACACTATCACAGTATTTATAAGACTACAATATTGTGAATTGTTTTTGGTTTTCATCTTACCAATGCTTGCTCTGGCTATAATTTATACAGACTTTCCTGACAAAGCTTAGCAAAACATTAAAAAAGGGAATATTCGTTTGAATGTTCACCGTTGTGCCTCACTTTGAATTTTAAGACGTTTATTTGGATTTAGAAGATGATTAGATCACTAGATCATGATAACAATGGTTTTATTTAGTATGGGCACGGAATATATCAACAAATTTTCTTTTCAGCAAACATTACCGATTGTCGCGATGTGTTGGATTATCGAGAAGCGAAAGGTGGTGAAAATTTCAGTTTTTCCGCCTGAAAATTTTATACGATTAATAGCCATAATTGGTGTGTTAAAACAAACAAAAGGGTGTAACTTGTTGAAATCGGTATTCCTACTGAATTTAGGTGAGTTCTAAGTAAAATGTCAGTACATTTGACTAAGTTGGAATTATATTTACTGTTGAGGAACATATGCAATCGGTTTGTTAGATGAAATCAAATGGAATCAAAATGCTTGGTGGGTTTTGTTATGTCAATGAATTATGTGGATATTTTTCATTAGGATCATGCTTATGTAATCACTTCTTCGCATCCTGATTATAATCAACTATCATCTCAACTATTCTACTTTGAGTGATTCTTCTTACAATTTACAAACGTTTGTTAATCACAACGAGGTTAAACGCACGTTTTGTATTCTATCTATTGTTTATTTATTTGCTTTGTTGAAGTGGCTTGCATTGGGGTGATGAAAAGTGGTTAAGCTGATGTTTTCTTCTGCAAACAATAAACTCACCGTTTCTGATCCTACCACGGAATCCCTTAGACTGAACGAGATGATGACTTATTTTTGGTCTTCACCTAATCGAGGCTATAATATATTCAAACTTTCTTCACTAGACTGGCAAATCATTAAAAGTGAGATATTCGTTGAGATTTTCACAATCGTGTCTCGCTTTTACTTATATGCGTTCATTTGGTTATACTGAGCGGCTTCCAATGAACTACATATCTCAACATTTTTCGACTCTCTTGTGGATTAGCCTAGTAGATGAAATGTTTGGTATACGATCTTCAAACCTTTTTACTTTTGGTCACACGAACACTATCATAACCCACACACAAAATAAGTGATGAAAATTATTTTAAAACCGTAAGCTCGTTTCTACCCTAACCTCAATATATCTTACTTACCATTATTTGATAACGATGGCTTTTATTTGATATAGTCTCACCAGTTTATTCCTTTACTCTTATTTTGGGAGGGATGACAATTAATGCTGGACTTCATTTTAGGGGTTCATAACATCAACGTCTGTTGTCTATCTGAGACTCGCTCTCTATGGGACTGACTGAGTTCTTTACAACTGATTGGTGTTTCATCACGCTTGAATGAATTGATGGTTGCTTCTATAAGAACCGACTACGATTCTTCGGACAGGACTGTTATCTGGGATTGTCTAGTAAACGAAAGTGTGTCTGAGGAGTTTAATATTATTCTTAATATCACTAATGTTATCCTTCTTGACCTTCTACTGTGAGATTTTCAAACGTAGCAATCCTACATTAATCAGTTTACAATCGGTGTTATTATTGTTGCCTATTTTTTAAACAGATGATCTTGAAGTACAGTATTCGTTCTATTCACACAGGCTGTGAAGGTGATGTGAAAATGATCTGCATCATATCTTTTCATCTGACACAAATGACTGCTGTGTTGTCTTTTATGCAGGTAGTCTTCTTTGCCATTTAGATGATTCTCAAGTAGAGTATTCATTTTCTGTCACTGGCTGAACGATATGCTAAATCACGTTACTATGGAGCTCAATGAGGTGGCTCAGTAGTGCTCAAGATAGCAGTTCGAGCTTAGCAATATCGAGTGAGGGTGAATCTGTTTTGGTGATTCTAAACTCAACATTGACCCAGCCATAAATCACATGCTGATATCCAAATTTCATCCAGTAGTGAACCTAAGATTGAATTCCCACTATAATTTGTCATTCTCATAATGAGTATCTAAACAAACCTCCATGTAGCATCATCTTCTGAGGTATATAATTCATGAATTTTAGTGCGCGAGTTGTGTGTTCCACCACTTGTAGTAGATTGCAAGCTCTATTCCAGTATTGTTCGTGTTACGGAAAAACTGAGGCAAAAATCCGTACATAGACGATAGACACTTAGCATACTCGGAACTCACTGTACATTTAAATACAAATCCAGATGAGATAAATTTTGACTCGACACTTTATGCAACAGGAGACTGAAACTCAATATGATTTCCTCCATCTGAATACCTAATTTCCCACGTTTCACACGCAGTGAAGCAATTCGATATCTAGAAATTCCCATAACTCCGTAACGTTTGTTCATTAGTAATACGATCTGATTTCAAAGCTTCTTCTTGTATGAATTGCATTACCAGTGAATTTTTGATACTGGGATAACTTACCTCAATCTATTCTTGAAATAAAATCAATCCCATCTCTTTTTTGTGGCGTGAATGCCTACTAATTCTCAGAAATGCGTTAAAAGTGGTTGCAGCTGAGTAAAATTCATTTAACAAGTGAGATTATAGGAACCCTAAATGTTTGATCATTAGTCAGCCGATTCATTTGATTACTTACAGAGTCATTTCACTTACACTCTTGCTAGTCGATCTAACCGATTTGAATAGGATCTAACATAAAAAATAAATCATACAATAAACTTGCTATTGAATCGTGGTGGACCTGAAGAACCTATATAGTAATCATCGCATTTTTGTCCAACACTTCCTGGTTTCGTTTTATTTTCTCTAGCTGTTGATGATTTCAAACGATCTCATTCGCCAAAGGAAACGATAATGACAACAGGATGTCAACTGACAGAGAATTATTAATTCCTGGATGATGGCTTGCATCAGTTTAATACATATATGAAATATTTTGCCCAAACGATTTCCGAAATGGAATATTTCGAACTTGATATGCTATCAGGTATTACGTGTTCACCTTACTCGGTAAATATGACGAAGATCAAAGATTCAGTGACACGATAGGTTATTCCAATCCGATTGTCTCAAGCCCCGTTAACTAGAGTAAGAAGTCTTGATAAGACATAGAGAGAATGTAATCACATGCACCCAGGTCTTTAAGTACAAAACTCATGCTTATTCATAAAAATATAAAACGCTCTTGGTGAATGCCACAAAATAGCATACAGAGGAATTCATTAACCCATGACAGTTGGGTATTTTCCGAGAGGGGAACGTGAGTTGAAGGTTAGAAAAGTGTCTTCGGCACGAAAAAAAATCGGAATCAATTACAACATTAGGACGTTTTACAAGTGAGTTCTAGGGATCTTACGTCCCCGCCACACCCATTTTAATAGCGTACATTCCTGGGATCGACTTGCATCTTGACTTTTCTTCGTCACTGTCGAAGAGGCCACCTTCTGGAATGAAGGTCAGCTTGTTGTTGAGCTGTTTCTCGTGTTGAGGCTGCCGGTAATTTGAAGGTATCTAGCAGGATGTCAAAGGGAAGATTTAATTCCGCTGATGGGCGACGTATCGGCGTATCAGATTCCAATGGCATGACCATCTGTCACCTCTCACCCCTACTTCGAACATAACACGGCCTACTCTTCTGACCACTCGCGCTTCTGTCAGAGGATCTTGGTTTGGTCTGTAGTCACGTACAAACACAGGAATTCAAACTTCATACATGGATTGCTTTTCAGAATTTGTCTGTACTGAAGGCGCATTATTCAGATGCATCAGGCTGTGGATCGTTTTTAGTCTTCTTCCCATCAAAACTTCTGCTGAAGAACTTTGCTCCGGTAACGTCTCATTTTGTGTCGTTCAATAAACACACAAGAAGTTTTGTAACACGTCAGCTGGCGTCCTCTCCCATTCTGAATTAAACAATGCTCTTTTAAACGTAACCACAAACCTTTCTGCCTACCCACTCAACTGGCATGGTTGCATGTTGATGAGCGTACGTGCTTGATGGCTAGCTGTTGACAGAATGCTTGGAAGTGGCTAGAGGTAAATTTAATTGAGAAGCTCTATCAATTTAGTTGTCGTTGGAGGCATTACAGAGCTGATTCCTAGCCATTTTGAAAAGGCGTCGATAGCAACTAGATACATTGTTCCATCAACCGGGCCCGCGAGGTCGCCGTATATCCTGAATCAGCAGTGTGTTTCCGTCTCATTTTCTATAGTGACAGATGATGACAAACAATCCCACACGGCACTGAAAACATAATCTACATATTTTATATTCAGCAAAAGAATTTCAACTGACAAAGTATTATTAGTTATTGACTGATGCCTAGCGTCACTGTAATATATGTGAGAAACATACTGCCTAATCAATTTCCAAACCAGGAAACTTCAAACAATCTAACGTGACTTATATAATCTTTACATTAAATATTCCTTCATCTATCTACTTGAGCATGCCTTTAAACTGGCTTGGATTATGTGATTATTGTTTCCAGAATATCCTTAGACGAATATATGTACATACTATTCGTTAGTCAAACAGATTTTCTTCTCCACTCTGACTTCCTCGGTCGAGCTATAAAATTCGGGTGTTATCACATGTCACATTCAGATTTTGAACATCAAACATCATGAAGACAATAAAAGTCTTTCCTTTTATACATCAGTTTAGTGAATCAATGAATGCTAAACACGGATAATATCATTACATTACGTTTATTCATTATAATATTCTAAATGGAAAATGTAAAGCTACATGGACAGTCCATCGTGTACATCATGTTATCTTGATCAAATCCAGTATCACACATATTATGATTTTACACAAATTTGTAACTAATCACATTTTCAATCAGTATGGTGTTCAACATTCAACATGAATAAAGATACAACGATAAACAAGCAACAACAGATGAAGCTCAGTTCTTAAGTCGATTCGGTACAGAGTGTTGAAGTTTTATTAAGAAAGTGTTTAGACACATCAATGTTGACTGATAGGGTGGCGAAAAACGTAGTGTACAAGAATATTGATGCCAAAGCAAAATTTGGATGGAAGATAAAATATCGTGATTTTCCAACAGTCAAATGGCTGACAAATATTGTTATCTGTAAAATAAATGCAACACCGATTATTTGGAACTTAATAAACTGTATAAGTAAACAAGTATGTTGAAAATAATTTTCTGTATCGTAAAATGAGTGAGGACAGTTCTGTGAAAGTCTGAAAAAGAAACTTTGGTGTAGAAGGGTAATCAAAACAGAATGTCAAATTCAGGTGATGAATGTTTGGATGTATTTAACTTACAAAAAATAACAGTATTTCTGCACCGATGTCAACACCAATCCCTACATCCTGAAAATCAGTAAAAGTATTTAATGAATTTGTATATTTGAAATAAATTAAGTATACAGATTGAACAGCACTCACAAATGACTACACAAAATGATGTGAATATAATTTTTGTGACAAATATCTTGTGCTGAGCATTGTCCGTTTATCATTATAAGTGAAGCTGATTAGAATATGCAAACCGGTCAAATGCTGTCTAGTCAATGTGTTTTTTTGCGAAATGATAGAAACAACTACGAGCTAACTGAAATATGCCCTTGGTGTATGTAATTTGCCCAAGGCACAATGTAACATTTATCATGAACACCAGGTGCAGAGGACCAGTTTAAATTCCGACTAAACTCAATGTTTAATTGTGGATCGTGTTCGTATGTTCCAAAGTCAGAGGTTGGTCAAAATCAGCTTTATACATTATCCTGTGATAAATTTCCTATTATCAAAGAGATAGATTAAAGTAAATGAAGGATAAATAAATAAATGACTGCAGTGTTTGTGCGATTTTGTTTTGTTGACAAGAGTATTTTCCTTCTCATAAACTTGTAGTGTGTCGATGCATCTGCGTGTTCTTAAGCTCGGTTTATAAATCAGAACATGAACTCGTATTGATGAATACGTTTATTCGGCGGCACACCACAAAGCGAAGCCAATCTGAGAAGGCTAAGATCCAACTCAAAGAGATAGAACATGACTAAGAATATATAGTCAGGCATAAATAAGACAGACATATGACCAGCGAAATAGGTATGACGAATGATTGACAAGGTCAAAAGCAAGCGATACAAGTCATGTGAGTTCATAGGGGTATTAAGAGATTAACATTAAAGCGAAAAGGATGAGTAAGCGCGTAGGCATAAACAATGCTCAGTCGAACAACTCATACAAACCAGATAATAAAAAAGTACCAATGGTACATATGAGTTGTTGCTATACAAATTGCTTGGTTAAATAAATTAATCGAAAGGGCTTAACGAAGTTAGATGTAAGAGAACTGGAATATATGTGGAGGCACTACAAAGTGATTGTAGATGTCAGGCAATCAACCTCATACCATAGACTAACTTTCATGATGTTATGTATGGATAGTTGTAATTACCAACACATGTCTGCATGTAATCGCTCCCTTAACGATAAGCTTACTTAATCTTTGTGAATTTCAATGAGAAGCATTGGGAACTCTGGTGTTTTTAGTTGTTGAATGCTAAATATTAATGAGGATTTCATGATTCAGACATCTCATACATGGACCGATTGTTTTAGCCCTGTACCAAACTAAAATAATTTTCATTGATCAAAGATATGATCTATTATTCAAATATTACCAAATAATTTATATACCTTGTGTTTCCAAACGTTGAATACAGTAAAAACTGTTAGAATAACAAGCGACAAAAAACTAAATGATATTAGAATAGCTGCTGAATAGTCCACTAATTGTGCCTTGATTGCTGCACCAATCAGAAGAGCAGATATGAAGATTATCAAGCTGATTACGAAAACTCCAAATGTAAGAGGAATACATGGCTTTGTAATCGAAAATCCAAGTGCTGTGGACATGAAAATAGACTGAAAAATAGAATAGTTATTGTAGTTTGAACTGAATTCATTCATTGATGAGTGTAATTTTCTGTGTTATAATATTGATGTGAAACGTTTCAGAAATCACATACAAGAGGATGAATGGCTATTCGGTTTCGTGAAAGGACAATTTTAGATTCGAAACAGGTGGTCCTGATATTTGGAAAGCACTCTATTTGGAAGCACTGTGAAGTTGCCTGTCTAATTTCAAAGCTTTAGCAAATGATCATAATTCAGAAACGTTTCAGAGTAAATTATACATTTTCCCGACGAAACAAATAAGATTCACTTACGAAATCGAAAATCTAAAATTAAGTGGGCTAGTCCCTTCCCAACGAATGGATTATTATTACATGCGATATCAATCAAGATAATTAAAATAGGACAATAATAACAATCATAGTGTGTAGCCAAGTTAACAACAATGATGAAGCAAGGTTGTTTTGTGCTTACAGTCTTTGCTCCATTTGATAGAATGTTGGAGCTTCTAGCTAGGAGGGGAAGAAGTTATGTAGATCTGTTCAACAAGTTCAACAAACAAGCTTAAAATCAATCTGTGGATCAGTGGAACTCCAGCACACCCAGACCCGGCTGTGTTTCATGTTGTTCTTGACACGTTTGTTCAGATAGTCGTTTTCGAACAACATTTACCTTAGCAAATGAAGATCTCTATCAAAAATTGTGTTATACAGCTGTAATATTTACGGTAGGATAGAGAATGTGGAATTTTTCTCTTCCTAATTAATGAGACCGATTTAGAGTCGCTGGATACGTGACTATGTTTTCGTTTGTTTTCAATTAATTGAGGGTTCCATGGATCAAAAACTGTGTCTTAGTTAACGTGATGAGGAAAAAAAACATTTTGACTGAAACGTCTGGTTTCCACATCTACGCAGATAGAAGATTTATTTCAATCTGAGAATCTGTCGGTTATGACAAACATTATCATGTCGGACAAACTGTCCTAGTGGATTGTCTAGTTACATACAGTATTCTTAAACTCACAGAAAACAGTCGAAAAATTTGTAAAAATGAACGTTTGATAGTGATTCTTACATAAAAGATCACAAAGACAACGTTCAGAGGATAACTTTCACTGATATTCTTCGCAACCCCGATCAGTAGTACCATCAGAAAGGCGACTAAACTATAAAATGAAACAGAAATCAAAAATATATAGGTGTTGTTTAATGAAGGATAAATGAATGTTAACATATTTGAATATGTCAACGAAGAACAAACTGAGAATGATAGTGTGTTGATTTATGAAAACACACATCCATTACCTAATCAAGTGCATTGCCTTCATGTCGGTCGAGTCAATCACAAAACTATTTTCAAACTGATTCAATTGCAGTTTCCATAAATTTATGTACAACATCGAAATGGAAAATGATGTTGAGAATAATATGAAATGAAGACTGTTTATTTATTTAAACAAAATCTCAACCGTTTTGTTTAAATCTGAGTTAACTTTAGTGTAGTGTAACTAATTTGAATGGAAAGCTTTAGACGTTTAATTATGGACTGTGTGGAATAGCGAAATATTGATTTAGATTATTAGGTGTCACATATGCAAATCAGAACGAATGTAAGGTAGTCATCAAAGTCAACTGCGAAAGCATACATAGATTAAAAGCATTGACATTTGATGTTCGTTCAAATGATTTTTTCAGTCTGAGACAATCGGATTGATTTTATTAAAAATGAAATCTTCCTTGAGCTTGTAATTCATAAAACATCAACTACCACAGTTTAAATTTAACGTAAGTTATTTTCATGGCATACTGACTGCTGATTGAAATTATTTTGATATAAAATTCACTTTCAGTTCATTTATTAAACAGATTAGAAGTAATGTGGAAAGAACATTGATTAACTTACACATATAAACCAGCAACAATTAACTGCACAGTGAAATCTAATTTTGTCTTAAATTGTATACGAAGAATACTGAAAGAATAATATTATTGTTCACCCGTGAACTTACATCTTAGATGCGATGATTACAACGCAAAATGTGATGAATATTTGTATGATAGCAAGCATTAAGACCTGTCATCATAAACAATCATTATTCGAAAATCCCAGCGTACTGTTTTTGTATATTCTGATACAATCATCAGACGATCAGCTTCCTTCAATTTATTCACTTTACATTTTGAACTCTCCATCAATGGAATACTTGGTACAACACGAGACATTGATGTCATGTTTTGCCTATCATAAAAAATGTCATTACATATCTGTTTAAATGCTCTCATGAATACTCATAGTGGAAACGTAACTTTAAATGTCAAGAAATGTGCACGTATTTATTGTCCTGTCTGTGATTTCTTAAAAGATTATATCATAGAACACTAGTGAGATGCTTTAAAGCACACATATTTAAATGTGTCTGATGTGTTCAGAGGTGAACATAGTCGACATGGAGCAACAGCTGTCAGTATGGGCAGTTATTGTCTCTACCTATCACCTAAAACTGCGAGATCAGTTTCTCTTATATGAGCTATAACTGGCAACCTTATATTTCAATAAACTTACCTACCAATTCCGATGCAATCAGTGTTCATCAGAACTTACCTTCTCACAAAATCTCATTTATATTAAAACATCATATGCACTTCAATGAGAACTAAGTAAAATGACAGATTATATTTGATACACAATTGTGCAAAGATATATATATATATATATATATGTCGAATAGGTAGAAATCATGTTCCTCATATTATTGACAAAATAAACGCCTTAAACCAATTGATAGCCTGTATAAAATTAACAAATACGTACACTAATTTCAGCATCAAGTTTGTGTGAAACAGATCAAAGTGTACAGCAATCAATATAAGCTGATGTATTTCTTGTTAGTATAATTTGGTATTCGAAAATGTCAACAACTATTTTATGAAAAAATACAGACATCATTTAACAAATATCTTGAGATGAGATCACAACATGGTCTAACTCACTTTGAACCAGTCAAATTTCAAGTATTTTGTCTGAACGTGGAGATAAAAAAAATATGATTTTTCGATTAAACGTATGTAAATGCGTAGCATTTGAAGCGTTTTTTGACCGACTGCTAATTAATTATATGGAGACAAAAAACTGTATGCTCAATTCTGTCAGTTCCAAATTAAGAGACAGAACAATGAAGAGAATGGTATTGCAGGTGTCACTCGTTTAAGGGATTCGTTAGCCAACATAGTGGACTAAACAGAAATTTTATTTGTGGCTAGCAAACTATTGCTTGGTATCTGAGAATCAACAACCGTGTTTCTAACTATATGTGATCAAATATACTTCTTCAGAGATGGAAACAATCGTTTCTAATCGGCAGTCAAACGTCATAGTTCAACAATCATCGCAGAAACCATTTGGTCACTCTGAGTTTATTCAAGCATGATCTCACTCTCAATAGATCAGTAACAACAACAGCAAAATTAATTTACAAGGGTCGACATTAACGAAAGTCGAATACTGATGATTGAGAAAAATGAAAGATGGTTGCACGGATCCTGAGTAAAAGTTAAGTACAAAATGTGATCAGCGAGCGAAGTGACAAATATACTGTCCAATAAAACACCATGGAGGGACATTTTGAGAATATTATCCCTGATACACAGGTTATTTGCATTCCGTTCACTGTACACACAGCACGACACTCACTGCTGCACACTATCAAATACACTTTATACATACATTTCGCTTTCTAAAGTGCTTATTGGAATATTGTACGAGGACTAATACATATATTATCTACTTTATAGACTGCAGTCACATATATATACTACTCGACGAACTATTTCTATATTTGGAATATTAACACGTATTTGTGGTTGTGCAATAAATCATCAAGCTATCACGAACTCTTGAATAAGCAGGGCACTGAGCGTCGGATATTAGTTAGAATTCTTTCTATTTCCACAAACTGGGTGAGTGAGATGTTGTCTTACGATGTCGGTTATCTTCAATTCGTCTAAGAAGGACCAGAAAGAGTTGCTTGGTAGCCAGATTTGATCGTGACCTGAGATTGATGGCGATATATATCAGAAATGAAAAATCTGTTCAGCTTCTCTTGATGAACTTTCTGACAGTATTACTACTTAGTTTGTTTGGCCTTCGCCTCATGAATCAAGGCAACGTATTCATGTCGATTAATGTTGACCATTTCGAACTCATATTATGCTTTAGTGAATTTCGTTCGCCCCCCTTTTGCGGGTTTCGTCCTACATATGCAGCGTTTCTTTTTTCGAGCCCCTACGAATGCCATCGTCTAATCGTGCGTTCCAGGTGCTGTTCCAAGGTCGTTGCGACAACTGAAATATCATCGAATAAGCTGCAACCCATGAAATTTCCTATGGGGTGGTATCTATTAAGTACTGGAAGATAGATGGGGCAGTCTTAACTCCGAAAGTCAGACGATATTACTTAAAAAACCACGATGAGTATTGATTGTAAGCACCTCTGTTGATGCTCCGTTTACTCCCACTTGCAAACAAGCATCAGCCACATTTAGCTTTGCAAAAAACGTTCCTTCGTTCAGCATAGTAAACAAATATGCAAAAACTGGAAGAGGGTGATGATGTTGCTTCAGAGATGCATTGAGATCTGAAGAAAAGTCAGCTCATATACGTATCATGCTGTTGGCCTTCTTGAAAACAAATAAAGGTTCTGCCCAAGCAACACAAGAAAAGCGTGTAATAACTCCTTGTTGTTTAAGGCGATTCAATTCTTCATCTACTGTCGCTACTGCTTCATAAGGTAATTGTCTCTTTGGACTTAAAGCAGGCTTAGTCCCAGGTTTCAACCGAAGTGTTGCTTTCATGCAAGTTGTAAGATGCTTGAAAACTGCGCTGTTAGCTTCCTCGTATATTCTGCAGGATCATGTGGTCGTGATACCTGGTGGCATATGGTATTTAACAGAACATCAGCGAATTTTAGCTGATCGAACCAATCTAAACCAAGTAAATTTAGATCAGCTGGTGTGATATAACTTAGCCCAGCAAATGACTAGTCTCGGACAGTAACTTTTCTATGTGATTGTCCTAAAACGTGAAGGTAATTTTCATATGCAGTGCCTATTTGCAATCAGTATTCGAGTAGTGAACATCTACTCACCGATGATGAGCTTTGATAAGAAGATAAAAGGCTCAGTGAATTAGTACCGGATCTCAAAACGGTTCTCTTGATACTTCTGGATAAGTAAGGCTTTCTGTTTTGGCGAAAACCATCTTTATGACCAACGACCTTACACTTCCTTCATCTATGTTGCCTTAATCGGCTGGATCATAATGAAACTCAGAAATGCAATTTGCGATGCCATCTATTGATGGTGTTTTGACTGCATTAGATGTTCTATGCTGTGTGGAAGGAGAAATCTTGATATCTCATAACATCTGCATTAGTTTCATCTGCTGCTCAAGTCATAATTCAATTTTGGCAGGATACAGGTTTCTAAGATCACCGTAGCCAAATGGATATGCTCGTCAATTGATATGCTTGGATTTATTACGAGTTCACTCTACACAGTAAACGAAACCGAACACAAATGATGCAGTGAAACGTTAGGCTATTAAGATTCGGTTTTCTCCGGCCCTGCTAACTATATCAAAATTCTTCATAAGGCGGCGAAATCGTGTTCTACAGGCACTCAGAAAATATGACTTTGACAAGCATGCAAACTGACCTTATTTATACATGGTAGAAACGTCATTCAGAGTAACATAAAAACAGCGTACTAAAATGATACATCAGAAAGTAACAGTCAAAGATTTTTCGAGTGTGAATCGTAATCTCATTGTCAACTGATCAGCCAAAGCGCGAAAGCACATAATCCAAAATGAGAACCTTTATCAAGTAAATTCATGTTCATAATGGTTAGCGAATTGAGATTCATATCACTAAAAACAAAAGATGACTGTCTATTTTATAAGGTGTTATACACTTTTAGTGAGCGAGTCCGGAAACCAGCTTGACTATGCCCACCACTAAATGTTCCATACGGTTGCGTGATGAAAAGGAGAACAAAATAAATCCATAGTTCAGTGGTTTATTGAAGGAGAACGTTGGCGTTACATAGGGAGCAGCAAACAAAGAAACATGGCGGCAACGCGAAGAGAAAGTTGCGCGCAAGAAGTCGAAGAAGTGTTTTTGGTACAATTAAACACAGCGAGTACAATAATGTTCACATTTCAAAAATCGCATTTTCTTCGTAGAAGCGTTCCACTACACACTAAAGAAAGATGTCATGTCTAAATGTTGATATTTAGTTTGATTGAAACGCATGTGAAATATCCAATTGAGATTGGCTACGCATTGATCATGTACACAGATTTGTTTAAATCAGCATTCGTATTAGGATTTATTTTGAAAACCAGTCTATTCATGATTATTGGCATGAACATATATTCGTTTGGTAAGTTCTTACCATATTTCTTGGATACTGTAACTGTGTATTTAACTGGATGATATAATGAGCAGTATCAACTAAGTACCACCAAACTGTTCGTTTTATTTTGACTTCGAAACAAGCGACACACTATTTCTTTTATTTCCAATTTCGTCATATCGCTCAACAGAAACAGCCACTTGTCCTGAGACTGTCAATTTATCACTAAATATGCATTAGATGGGTTCACAATTCAGTCCATGAGATGTGTAGGATGACTATCAGGTATGAATGTCTGAGAAGGTAGGAACTATCTGAAATAGCGTTGTAGAAGATACTCATGATGTACGATAGTGTAAATAAAATCTGAGTCCCTTAACCAATGTCAGCAGCAACGCTTTTGGGGACAAAGTGGGATTGGAAAGCACACAAATGTTTGGTCTTCTGTATTAAAATAAAGCTCCCAGTAACTTGCGAAACTGTGAATAACAGTGACAGGATTATAAAAGAAGTAATAATATTAGTGAATGGAACAGATGCTATGATTTACCGTAAATACTGTGGCTGAACCTCATCATCTATCTATTATAATAACTTTATTGATTTAAATTATTCGATAATTGTATTGATCAAATAACATAACTGTATCAATTGGATAACAGTATCGATTACTATTTATTCGATTGTGTGCGTGCATGCTTACGAGCTGATTGAAAGTGGATTGTATCATATCACTGAATACGTCAGAAATCTATCTGAATGTTGGATAGTGATGATGATGATGATTAGCAGTCTGTCACAGGAAATATGCATTGATTT